TCGTCCAGATCATTGATAAAGATGTTGAACAAGACCGGCCCCAAAACTGAGCCCTGGGGAACACTGCTCGTGACCGGCCGCCAACTGGATTGAACTCCATTCACCACAACTCTCTGGGCCCGGCCGTCCAGCCAGTTTTTGACCCAGCGCAGAGTACACCTGTCTAAGCCGTGAGCCGCCAGCTTCTCCAGGAGAATGCTGTGGGAGACGGTGTCAAAGGCCTTACTGAAGTCCAGGTAGACCACATCCACAGCCTTCCCCTTAACTTATCTAGCTGAAAAGGATCAGAGGAACTTCAGATGTACCAGAAATTGAAGGAATATAGTGGGTCTGGCTCAAATCAGTCTGAAACCAAACTGAAAACAAAAATCCAATTAACTGGGAACTGCTGCTGTTGGCCAGTTTCCTCAAACTCTGTCTGACTTTTGGCAATACTCGCTTGTCCGTGTGCTTTTTGTCCTCCAAGATTTTTTTTCCTATTGCACGCAATAGCAATTTCCAAGTGATTCTTTTACCTTTGATATACAAATGCCTCTTATTTCCCACACACAGATCTTTCAATCTAGGTAACTTCACTAACAAATGACTTTTACTCCTAAAAATCCACTCTTTTGCATCACAACCCTCCTTTCCTGTGAGCTGCTGCCTGGTAGTATCACGTTGCCCTGGCTGAGGCAATGTACCAAGATAATTCCCAGAGTTTGGTCGATATTCAGCAACTAACTCTCCATAACTCCATTGCATGCCTGAACCATTAGTCATTAAAAAAATGGATGGAAGTCTTACAAAAATGCCCAAGAAAACATACCGTTTTCAGCTCTGCGTGTTGGTCTTTTGGGTTGCTGTTTTCGCATGAGATTTTAAGGGCAAGGATTTGCAGTTGGCTAATAAACAGGCAGAAAAGGCTCATGGTGCACCGTAACTCCACAGCAACTGGTAGTTATCAAGAATATTAAGCAAACAAGAAAAATGATTTATTGTGCAGTCAAAGTATAGAAAACGGAACGTGGAAGTACAATTCTTACACTGCAAAGAAACATTCCTCCAAAGACCTATCTCTGCGGGTGGTTTACTCTGCTGTAAATCAGACCATATCAACGCAATCCTTGAGCACAGCTGAACACCTCTGATGTTTTCACTCCTGTTGGAATTGGTAGCCACAGTAATGTTTGTGTCATCAAATCTGCTCCAAATTATTTTGGTGGTCTTCAGCTGCCTTTTCACACAGCAATGCATCCTGCGCTGCCCAGCTCCACTGCTTACCTGCATGTTCTCCATTGTTTTAGAGTCACAGCGAGCAAATACCAAGTGATAAAATGGTGGCTGCAGCTAGTCTCCTCTCTCTCTCAGTGATCCCTACAGTGAGAACATGAGCTTTCCCCCCCCCCTCAGACTTGCACTATCCCTCATCCCTGTGCTTCCAGATAGATTTGTAGTAAGGTCTTCAATCTCCACGCTTACTAGGAAGATGCCACAGTCCAGGAAGTTCTGGAGTTCCCAAGGTGGTTGGACCGTCTACGCTGGTAATTAATTTGGTGCAACAGAAACGGACCAGCAGAGTGAAATGTCTAGTGCTGAGGCTTCTCACCTCTGTCTTGAGGAGTCTATTTTGATGTTTCACAATATCCTTGTGAAACGTGGTTCAAAGCTGTCCCCCAAACCTTCACTTCATTGGCTGCAACCTACTCTGGAAATGCCAACACTGTCCTCTCGCTTGCAGTTGACGGTAGTACATCAGTACCCAAATCACTATGACCTGTGTAAGGCCTTACATGCAGAAGCCATCTTTTCGTCCATGTACAACCCCCATGTGGTACTGTACTGCTTGGCCCACCTCTCCAAACAGTCTGGACAGCATCCACTGCAAGGTTTTGATGGTCTTGTTTCTGCAGCTCTGGCTGCTATTCTGGGATGATACTTGCGAAGAACTGACGTTCATCCTCCTGCGCAATGAGGATTTCCCTGAGAATTAGGAAAGGCAAAATGACTTTCAGGGAGCAAATGATTTGCCTGTGGTTGGCTGGAGATGGTGGGCCCAGGAGACAGGCTTGGACTGCTGGTATCCTGCAGGATGGAAAGGAACACACATTGCAAGGAAACCCTTTCCTCTCCTGTGTCAGACAAGTTTCCATGGCATCCCCCTCGCAGCTTTTCAGCTCCCAGAAGTTACGCATCCCTCCAGTGCTGAAACACTCTGCTAAAGAGTGGTTGTGCCCCTCCTGTCACACAGTGGGCCATCACGTCCAAAGCCAATCACCCATACCCCAAGCCAGACCCCTCAGTCCCAGAAAACACTTCCATGTTCCTGCAAAGCACTTGGAAGCCAAGCTGCCTGCACACATGTTCCATTTCTGTCCTGCCTAAATCCTTTGAGTGGAACCTTGAAGTTAAGCTCCAGACAAATTGTCCATTGGGACCTCCACGCCAGCACAGTGCAGGGGCAAAAAGTATGGTTTGGCTTAGTAGACATGGGTGCAGGTAGCAGAAATAGCCATGTGGTGGCAATATGCTCATTGTAGTGCTGCATTTCATGGCTATAAAGTCTCCCAGGCAACTTTTCAAGTATTCTCACCATTTCCACCTTTTGTACAGGATCCAAACAAGAGCAGACCAGGCTTGGTGGTCTGCCCGAGGAACGAGGTTCTGAACAAGCATTCTGAAATACTCAAGGCCTGTTGTTTCAGCTGGCAAACAGCAACAGCAGGCAGCATGTGATTTAATGGCATATTAGTTGCAAGCTTCATTACATTAGGGGTTAGGTATTTTTCACCAATTGAATGTTCCAACAGCGCTGAAGTCCTGCTAAACAAGAAGTCAGCACACAGGTCAACATTCTTTGTGACTGAACAGTAATTTCCAAGTATTTCAGATCATTTGAGATGCACAACTAACTCACCATCACTAACTGGTTACCACAGGCCTAGCAATTATTTCTACATTAAAGCAATAAAGTAATTTACAATTTGATGTATTGTTTCTAAAACCATTTATAACCTAGCCTGCTCTTCCTTAACAATTGCCATATTTTGAAGAATAGCCCCAAACCATTTAAAAGGAATGTTTCAAGAAAATAACCACACAGAAAAATCAGCTGTATCTGAAGCCTACAATTAATTAAAAGTGACAGGAAAAAATGTACATTTAACTTTCTGGTATTTATAATGTGTTTTCCTTGGTTTGGGCTTTGAAAGTAGGAACGGTCAGTTTTATTTTGGGGAAAACACCACGGATCTAAGCTCAAATATGTAGGTCTGCATGTCTCAATCCACGCAAACGTGTGCAGCTCAGCAGGGATTGCAGGCGTACAGCAACTTCCCAGAAACACTGCCTGGTCCGGCAGAGTATCTCAAGTATTACCGATCACTGATATACATTATAGATAATGCTCATTTACCTTCCCATAGGTTATACAGTGTCCTACTGCTTTTACCTGGGCATTCCTTCTGAAGAGCCTTATTGCAAGCACGTCTATTGATCCCTAATCCAAAGAAGAAGTAAAAAAAGAAGGAGTTTTGCACAGTTTCAGCTGAGGAAAGTGTCATTAACCCTCAGCACGGTGGTTTAAGCCACCCATATTCCACTTCATACTGCCGAAAAGTTAGAACCACGAAAGTGACGTCTCAGGAGAAGTCACCTGTTGATCTGCAGCAAATTGCTTACAGATTGCTTACAAATTGCTTACAATTGCAATGTCTGTCCATGTCCAATTTGTAGCACATTATGTGCTACAGGTCCCTGTCTTGTATGTGCAAGTAAAGCTAGAGTTTTTAGCAGACATCTGAACAGGAAGACCTCTTACTTTGTACCTCCACAATTATTTGACTATTCAACTAAGGAGGCAGAAGAAAATCCTTTTTATTTTAGTCAGTATCCAAGATGTCAGGTATAACTTTATACCTTTAGATGTAAGATTTTAGACTGCTGTATTTTTATTTTTTAAGTATAAAATAGCTCCAAACCTGTATGGCTTAGTCCTCTAACATGTATGTGAAACTTAATGGGGAATTTTATATTTTAGGGAAGGGGGAGCAGTCATTTTTGTTTGACATAACTGTTATTCAGGCACGTAGTACAAAAAGATGGCCACAGGTAGATTTTCCTTCTCCTGCATTGATCAAATGACATTGAAAAAATGTGTCAAATACTGCAAACTAGCAGGAGGCCAGAAAAAAGCTCTAGTCAGGCTGTGGCTGCTGGATAAATACATATGTCGGGAGTTACGGCAGCTCTGCTGTGGTTCCCCCGTAGGCACACAGTGTTGTTATTTCAGCGTACTTAATTCCTAGATAAATCCTTCTTTAAAAACAAAAAAACACACACCCAACCAAAACAAAAAGGTATTGTGGTTCTAATTCATAAATTCAGTTAACTCCTGCTCAGTAAGCTTATACACAGCCCACCAATCACAGGTTTTTTGGGGGAAAAAATGAGGATGATGCGCTATTCGACCCGAGCAGCAGCAGCCCGACTCTTGCCCCCCCCAGCCCCCACCATCCACCCCCACCCGCGGCCCCTGACACGCAGCGAGCCCGAGCGCCGGGCAAGGGCCTCAGGGCCGCCTGGG